ATCACACGTCTTCTGGTTTATATCCTGATAAACCTTCAGGCCGTACCTGCCTGACCTGCTGTCCTTCAGTCCTTTGGGGACACTTTGAGACTAATTCTGGTTCGGTTGAAATGTTCACGTCATTAGAGAAACTTTCTAACTTTTTAAGTTTCAAGTTCATTTGGATAACTTTAGTGTCATTTAGGTCACAGAACGTTTTAATTCATTAGAGACTAACTTCTTAGTTTGGAGTCGCTCTGAGTCCTGTCAGGACGATTTCTTTCTCATTTGGGATGAATTTTCTGTCTTTCTCAACACTTTTTGAGTGATTCTGGAAAGTGTGAAGTTGTTAGCAACACTTTTAAACTTACTTTGGACAAGTTTCAGGGCCATTTTGGACAATTTGTGAATCTCCAAAGTGTGAATTTATCCAAGTTTTGTTTAATTTTAGAAAGTTTCAGATTGTTTGAGACTCTTTTTACTTAATTTTAGACAAGTTTTAATACCTTTTGGGAAATCTGTGTGTCATTTGGGAGACATTTCTGTAATTTTGGCCACATATTGTTTGATTGAACAGTTTCAGGTCACTGGAGACGCCTCTGAACTTCCTCTCCTAGTATAGAAGTAGAACTTTACACTTGTCCACAACAAGGTTTAAAAAAGTGTTTCTAATGACTTCAAACTTGCCATAAATTGCTCCAAAATGGTGTAAAATGACACAGGATTTGAGTGTGTGCTGCCTCAGTGGTCCTGCTGGTCAGACTGCAGCGTTTTGGACCCTGAGGAGGTCACAGGTGAGGACGGCAACGTTCACCAGAGAGCTGTGAGAGATTCACACAGAAACAAAAGGCCTGCTGTCTGCAGACACACAATAGGCCGACCGAGGACACAAATGTCTTTATGCTGCTGCAGTGAAAGACACACCACGACCAACATGCAGTCACGTGCACAAAAACACAATCATCAGCTCAGCATCACTACGGAGGAGCTTCAGGATCAGTTACACAACCACAACACACACACCGGCCCAAAAGGTCAGTTCAGCAGAACTTGGGCTGCGTTGTTCCGGCTCAGATTACTGAACATTTTGCATCACAGACAGATTTACCAGAAACCTTCTGAACTCCAGCAGCTTCTGGGCAGCGTTTCTGCTCACGTCTCACTTTAACTCACTGAGGTTCATGTTTCACTAAAGTCCTGCAGCTCTGAGGAACCAGAACCATGAAGGAGGAGGAGATGACAGAATGGTTTTTAAATGGTCCTGCAGACAGAAGACGTCTCTGAGTTCTCGCTCCTCCTCCTTCATCTTCTGGTTCCTCAGAGCTGCAGGACTTTACGTTGAACCTCAGTGAAGGAACACGAGTCAGAACCCGCTCAGAGTTCAGAGGGTTACTAAATACTAAAAACATGAATTTCACTATCAGAGACTCCAGAACAACAGCTCCTGATACGGGTCCTGCAGAGCAACAGTTTTCCACCTCAGCATTCCTACGATAAGATAAACTTTATGACACCTCTCTGGAGGCGTTTACGGCTTCCTGCTACTATTTCTGCAGTTGCTCTGAAGTCTGTGAACTGACCCTTTAAGTCCCATCACAAGCTTTCATCAACAAGAACAAGGTCACGACCATAAAGCTGACGATAGTGATGGAGTTAACAGAGTCCAACACGAGGCGGAGGATGAACGTCTGCATGCAGGTCAGCGTTCATCTGAGCTGCTTCTACGTTCTGCTGCTGCTTCAGCCTCCAGTCTGAGTCCTGACCTGCACAGGTTTTTGATATGAAGCTACTTTCCAGGCGTCCCTACAGCTCCCCTAGCTGAGGGCGACCCATGAGCAGCGTCTCCTCGATGTGGTGACCGTCTCCTCTCTCCTTTCCTGTCTCTGTCTACTGCTCTGAAGAAAGGTAAAAAAACAAAGCAACTACTTTTCTATCCTACATGAAGGCCTGTGTTCCACGCCGATGAATACAGCATGAAGTCATTCCTGTACGCGGCGGTGCAATGCATTCTGGGAGCGTTGCATCTTCACGCTGGACGCTGCTCGTTAGCATAAAGTTGAGCTCAAAGCTACTTTCTGCACATAAGCAACGTTTTTTTCTTGCATTTTGAGCGTTTGTTTTCTCCTTTCAGATAACTTTGAGTCCATTTGGATGATTTTTAACTCGTGAGGTGACATTTTGGAAACTTCTGGAGCAATTTGGGGAAATTTAAAAACACTTTTAGCTTATTTTGGACAAGTTTCAAGTACTTCTGGGAAAATCTGACTCTTTGTAAAGTTTCCTAAAGGACTCGAAATTTGAAACTCTAATGACATGAAATGTCCAGAATGACACAAAATGACTTTACTTCCTCAGAAGAAGCACATTCTACATTCATGCTGCTCCTACGTATGTTTAAACTGTTAGGACATGTTTTGTACTTTGGTTTATATCTTTACTTTATTACTTTAATCTATGTGCAACTCTTTAGCACCCACACTGTCATTTATTCCATCTGATAAATATAAAGCCACTGTTTTGGGTTTTGTTGTTGTAGTAAACTCTATGTTAAGGCTAAAGCTGTTTTTATAGCACTTCTTAGGGCTTCAGATTAAATGTATGGCTTCCTAACTCTGCTGCTGTCTTGTTGTCTAACCAGGTAACCGACTCCTGCTCTCTGAGCTCACTTGGCCAAAAAAACTTTTCTGATTTTGATTCTGATTCATTTTCTGGTCTGATTTTTCTCCTTATGTTTATATATGTGGCTCAGTTGGTCCAAGCGTCTGTGTAGCAGCAGGAGATCCTGGGTTCAGGGACCCGAGCACATGTCCAGCTGCAGAGCACTGGTCCTATATCACTCATAGCTGGGACGGACTCCCCAGTGAGGACGAAGCAGTGTGTAGATGATGGATGGATGTTTATATATTTTCGACTATCTATATTTATACTATCTATCTATGGCCCAGTAAATATCTGCTCCGTAAAAATAACCGGCGGCCGGCGCTGACAGCGGCGCTGCATTGTAACGGGTGCACGGTAAAAATAGAGGAGCTGCTTTGCCCTCAGAAATGTGCTCGTGTGTCCGGAGGAACGCCGGCTGCTTCGGCGGCACGAGGACGTGAGCGTTCAGCAGCGCGTGGCGGCGCTCACCTGGCCTCTCGGAACTTCTTCAGCAGGCTGGGCCGGTCCTGGTTCCGCCGTCTCCTGAACCATCGCTGCACTTGTCTTTCTGAGCAGCCGGTCTGCTTGCAGAGGCTCGACACCGAAGACTGGGGGCAGAACAGAGGGTTGAGCTGTTACCTGGCAGCAGGATGTGATGCGGTGTGTGGGGGGGGAGGGGTTCCTACCTGTGTGGGGTTCTTGGTGATGTGACAGTAGTACGACTCCAGTGTGGGATTGTGTGGAGCTTTGAGCCGCATCGTCTCTTTAACCCCGAGTAGAGACGCCAGGGGAGTCGCCACCGTCCTGCAACCACACAGACACAACGAAAGCACAAAAGCATTGATCTCCTTGTTTTGCTGTAAATGATCAGCTTAAGATGAATATAAACGGAGCTTTTAACCCTCTGAAGCCCGAAACCTGCCCAAAGGTTTGAAAAGCAACTGATCTGTTATGAAAGTGCCAACGTGACACCGTTTATCAGCCAGGAGCTGCAAAAACAGAAGAGTTTGGGGTGATTGTTGTCAAATGTAACGCAGGTCATGAACCAAGCATGTGTGATAAATGAACTACATCTGAGCATAAAATCAGGACACGACATTCAAATTACTTTATTCTACACGTCTCATTTAAAAACGAGCCAAAAATGAACCGTTTGTATGAATCTGATTCTGCATTTCTCAGGACGACTGATCCTCCACCACTGACTCCGACCAACAGGAAACATCCAGAGAGTTTCCTCAGAGAGCCTGAGAGCAGAATCCAACCTCCTGGATCAATGAATGCAGCACGGATCAGAACCAGAGGACAGAGGAGCCAGTTGTTGCTGATGAGCAGTTATTAACCAAAAATATGCGTAAAATTTAGGTATTTTATTAATTTCACTTTATTCTAAATGTCTCTAATTACTCTGATTTTTTTTTTTTTTTTAAACTGTGACCAAATTCAGGGAGTTTCCAGGTTGAGCTGCAGCAGAGAGGAGAAACTAATACAATAAAACTACATACAGTATGAGAGGCCTCCATTTTTCCCATGTTGGTGAAACCTGCGGACGTCAGGTTGACTCCAGATGTTTTGGTTTTTTGTGAGGAACTAATCAAAGACATTCAACAGGACTTTATGCTGCAGTGAGAAATGACCACACAGCGAAGGGAAATGTGACAGGAGCAAATAAACCTGAATAAAAACAGAGTTATATACAATAAAATAACAAAAAGCTCAATGCAGTGAGTCTAAATGTCTAAAGTGCCATCAGCCCATGAAAGGCCGTTCATGTTGATTTGTCTGATCTCACTGAGAAGCTAAAACATTCAGTCATGATGGCTGATCCACCAGAGACAAGCTGCTGGAAACAGGAAAGCTGCTCTTGTGTGGAAGCACCGCTGACCTTTACTTGCTTTAAATTAGGGCACAACAAAGCAGAGATGAAGCGATTGCTGGGAAATAAAAGCCAGAAATAGCCTGAGTGGAAGTCAGAGGAGGAGAAGCTGAAGGAGGAAGACGGAACCAGAGGAGGGAGGTGCAGGTGAGGATCGGACCTTTCAAAGACTTGACGGACGACGAGGAATATGAGCGCGATGGGAAGCGCCACCCACAGGTCTCGGGCCTTGGCGTAGACCCGTCCATCCCGGTCCTCCAGGTCGGCCCAGCCCAGGCCCTCCGGAAACCAGAGCCGCTCCTGCCAGAACCAGTCGCTGAGCTCCGACAGCATCCTGGAAGGGAACCAGAGCAGCTTTAGTGAGTTCATCAGGCTGGAAGAGCAAGAAGGCCACGGATGCATTAAACAGGAACAGCTGAAGGCGGTTCAGCAGCATCAATTAGAGCAGTGGTGCTCAAACTGGGGGGCGCGACCCCCACGGGGGTCCCACGGTAATTTCAGGGGGTCACCAGATCATTGTAAAAATAAAATAAAATAAAGC